GTTTGGGATGGCTCTGAACCCATAAAAACCCCACAAAAAGGGTTTGGGATCACTCTAAACCCACAAAAAACCTACAAAAAGGGTTTGAGATAGTCCTAAACCCATGAAAACCCTAGAAAAAGGGATCTGGGATCACTCTAAACCCATAAAAAACCCACAGAAAGGGGGAACCCAAGCACTGAACCCGCAGTGATTTTGTCGCCCTTCGGCCCCGGGTCAGTGACCCCACCCAGTGCTGAGTCAGCACCCCGGGGACACCGCGGGGACCTTTGGGTGCTGGGAACAGCCTGACCTACTGGGAGGGACTGGGAGGGACTGGGAGGGACTGGGAGGGACTGGGAGGGACTGGGAATGACTGGGAGTGACTGGGATGGCACTGGGAGGGACTGGGAGGGACTGGGAGAGACTGGGATGGCGCTGGGAGTGACTGGGAGGGACTGGGATGGCACTGGGAGGGAATGGGAATGACTGGAAGGGACTGGGAGTGACTGGGAGGGACTGGGAAGGACTGGGAAGGACTGGGAGTGACTGGGATGGCACTGGGAGGGACTGGGAGGGACTGGGAGAGACTGGGATGGCGCTGGGAGTGACTGGAAGGGACTGGGAGTGACTGGGAGGGAATGGGAATGAGTGGGAGGGCAGTGGGAATGACTGGGAATGGACTGGGAGGGGACTGGGAATGACTGGGATGGCACTGGGAGTGACTGGGATGGCACTGGGAGTGACTGGGAGTGACTGGGATGGCACTGGGAGTGACTGGGAGGGACTGGGATGGCACTGAGAATGACTGGGAGGGACTGGGAATGACTGGGAGGGCACTGGGAATGACTGGGAATTTTCAAGGTTTTTTCCCCCAAATTTGAGGGTTTTTCCCCCAGATTTTGGGGTTTTTTTCCCCCCAGATTTCAAAGGTTTTTTCCCCCAAATTTTGCGGTTTTTTTCCCAAGATTTCGGGACATTTCCCCTCAGATTTTCAGGGTTTTCCCCCCTGGATTTTGGGCATTTTTCCCCATATTTTCAGGCTTTTTCCCTGCAGATTTTGGGTTTCTCCACCCCAGATTTCAAGGCATTTTCCCCCGAAATTTTCAGGCTTTTTTTCCCACAGGTTTGGGTTTTTTTTTTCCCCCAATTTCAGAGCATTTTCCCCCAAATTCAGTTTGTTTTTTTTTTTTCCCAGGATTTGGAGGGTTTCTTTCTCCAGATTTTCAGAGTTTTTTTACCCCAAATTTTGGCCTTTTTTTACCCCAAATTTGGGGATTATTACTCCAAATTTGGGTTTTTTTTCCCCCAAATTTTGGGGTTTTTTCCAGGTTTTTTTTTCCTAAATGTTCGGAGTTTTTTCCATGGGGTTTTTTTTCCCCAAATTTTGGGTTTTTCCCCAGATTACCCCTCTGTGCAGCCTCTTGATGAGGAAATCGGATCCCCCGGGTTTCTGCCCCAC